CCCCCATCTTCAGGGCAAGTCAAAACATTGATTACACAACAGTCTCGTTTTCTACTGACTGGGTTCCGTCCTATTGCGCAACTTAGTACAATAACCAGGCCAGAATTTTGACACCAATTCATTCATTCACCTGGATATATAAATATTAATCAGTATTATTTGATGCATCTAATCACTTGTACATTGCAAAACTACGCTCCTTCTAATCCTTGCAAACACGTCGTGCAGCGTGCTCTGTCGTACAGTCTGCTCTGACAAACAGAAATCTGGAATTTTATGAAATCTCAAAACGAGGCTCGGACGCTAGAAAAGCTTGGCCGTCTGGTACGAACTTGATATTAAATCAATCGCATTGTACGTTACGAAAATACACTTAATAAGTGCAAAGAACACATAACAGGTGTAACCAGTGTGCCATATGAATTGTGAATTTTTGTACCTCTTGAAACAGAGGTCTGTGACGTCTTAGTTAACGGCGTGCTGCCTAAACCTCGACATAAAATATAGAAATACGATTGCTTTAAAGTTTAAAATTAAAATTAATTTGCAAATACCATTTTCTTTTTAACCAAGGAATTGGACTTTAATGTAACCATAGTTGTTCGCAATGTCTCTTTTCACTTTTAAGTGAGAAAATTCGGATCGGCTGAAAAGTAGGTCATTGTCTGAATTGGTTATTGAGGTCTCATGTTTCGGTTTGTCCTTTTAGTGGAAGGCAAGCAGAACTGTCACTTTCCATCCCTCCCCTTTCCCCAGGGTTGTGATAAATGTTGCCGACACCTCTCTGTCATTTTATAATAACTACCCCTTGCTCCAACCCATTCGGGGCGGTGGGGTAGCCTAGTGGTTAAAGCGTTGGCTCGTCACGCCGAAGACCCGGGTTCGATTCCCCACATGGGCACAATGTGTTAAGCCCATTTCTGGTGTCCCCCGCCGTGATATTGCTGGAATATTGCTAAAAGCGGCGTAAAACTAAACTCAGTCAGTCAGTCCAACCCATTCGATTATGAATGACGAGTAGCACATTAATGCCAGATAGAGGGTACTTTATTGTTTACAGGCTGCCATTGCTGGCCGCGACGTTAGGCAAGAAACAAATGTTACGTTTCTTTGTTTATGAAAATAGGATGTTTCCGGTAGATCAGTACACGTCTACCTTTTTCACGAGTATCTGGTGTCATCCCCGAGTTTGAGTATTCCGTTCATTATTTGCCTTCACACCCTGTGAAATATGCATCGGTAGTTATTCGTAAAAGAATATTTGATGGCGCTGACGTTTTGAATCAACAGTGTTGGTTGGTTTGGTTTGTTGTTTAATTCCGCTCTCAGCAATATTGCAGCTACATGGCGGCGGTCTGTAAATAATCGAGTCTGGACCAGACGATCCAGTGATCAACAGCATGAGCATGGATCCGTGCAACTGGGATGCGATGACAAGTGTCAACCAAGTCAGCGAGCCTGACCACCCGGCCCCGTTAGTCGTCTCTTACGACAAGCCTGGGTTGCTGAAGACCAATTCTAGCCCGGATCTTCACGGGTCGAGTTATAGTGTATAACGTGTAAAGCAACATATGTGACAATATAATGTAATATCAGTATTATCGTAATGTAATGTTTTATAACATCTGTAACACAATAACGTTATATGCAATAACATAATGTAACATCTATAAAAATGAAATGCAATGACTGTAACAGTGAGTGAGTGAGTTACGTTTACGCCGCACTCAGCAGTATTTCAGCAATATGGTGGCGTTCTATAAATAATCAAGTCTGGACTAGACAATCCAGTAATCAACAGCATGAGCATCGATCTGCGCAACTGGGAACCGATGACATGTGTCAACCAAGTCAGCGAGCCTGACCACCCGATCCCGTTAGTCGCCTCTTACGACAAGCATGGGTTACTGAAGGCCAACATTCTAACCCGGACCTTCACGGGTTAATGACCGTAACAATGTAACCTCTGTAATAATGTAATGTAACCTCTGTATCAATTTAATGTACCCTTTAATAGGCGGATCCAGAAATTTTCAAGGGTGTGTGTGTGTGTGTGTGTGTGTGTGTGTGTGTGTGTGTGAGGGGGTTCGAACCCCACCTTGACTCCGCCATTGCAAAACATTAACTTCAATGTGGTCTTTAGTCATTTTCAAAAGGGGGGAGGTGTTCGAAGCCCCTGAACCCCCCCTCTGGATCCGCCACTGCCTCTGCAATAATGTAATGTGTCATCTGTAACGATATTATGATATTATGTAACATTTATGATATAGTAATGTGGCCTCTATGATAATGTTATAGTGTACTATATAATGCAACAATGTAACATTTCTCATTATGTAATGTAATATCTGTAATGATGTAATGTAACATCTGTAACAATGTCAAACACTACCCATTACAATGTAATATAATGCTCGTAATGATGTAACATTACACATGTAATACTGTAACGCAATAATGTAACAATGTAATGTATTAAGCCGTGTAATAATGTAGCGTAATATCCATATAACGAAACGTAACATTTTCAAAGTATTGTAATGGAATTGAGGGTAGCCTATACCAGTGATGGAGAACTGTTCCTCTATATGAAATGAATAGTAATAGAAATATGTTTGCGTTGTATTGGGTCGGTGGGGTAGCCTAGGGTTAAAGTGTTCGCTCTGGTTCGATTCCCCACATGGGTACAATGTATTAAGCCCATTTCTGGTGTTCCCCGCCTTGATATTGTGGGATATTGCTAAAAGCGGCGTAAAACCATACTCACTCACTCAGTTGTGTTGTATTATCGTATTGTAAGACGTTCATCGTCTATGTTTCCCTGGATGATATGCAGTTCCCTTCCTACTTGTCTTTATCCATTCTTTATTCTATTTAACATTAATAGTATTATTAATATAAACAATTAATTATAGAAGATACAAGTGTTCTCATCATGGATGTTGACATAATGTTCACTTTCATATACAGGAATAGTTCTACATCACTGGTATATACTACAGTCAATTTCATTACAATACTTTGAAAATGTTACGTTTTGTTATACCGATATTACGCTACATTATTACACGGCTTAATACATTACATTGTTACATTATATTGTTTAATATTAATTTATAATTTATTATTTTATTAATTTATTTAATAGTATTATTCTATTCTAGAAAGCTTTGGAACAGTTGCCCGTCATCTAAACGTACACAAAACAACAATCTCTCACGACTTTGGAATCGTTACACACAGTTCCATGCAATTGAAGATCGTCCCAGGAGCGGTAGACCTAGGATCACCACACCGGCTCAGGATCGCTTTATTCGACTCAGCCACCTACGTAATCGGCATGCCACACCCACCATCACTGCAACACAGGTGCCAGGATTTGAGGAGAGTATCGGCCCAAACCATCAGGAACCGCTTACATGAGGCAAATTTACGTGCAAGAAGACCAGTTGTTGGGCCCGTCTTGAAACGCCAACATCGACGCCAACGTCTCAGGTGGTGTACTCAACGTAAGGAGATGGACCTCAGAAACTGGAGAAGAGTCTGGTTTAGTGACGAGTCTCGCTTTCTTCTTCAACGACGTGACGGTAGACAACGTCTATGAGACGAGCAAATGAACGTTTTGCACCGAACTGCGTTCGACAGGTCGACAGATTTGGATTTACATTTGTCTTTGAGGGTGGGCTGCTTATAACACGTAATGGGGCGGTTGTGTACCTTAGTGGTTAAATCGTTCTCTCTTTACGCCAAGACCCGGGTTCGATTCCCAATAGGGGTACAATGTGTGAACTCGCTCACTCATACACGTAAAACAGGTTGATGTGGATTCTAACAGCACGGATCGTTGTGGATTGTTTTCGCACAAACACATGTGGGTAAAATCTTAGGGGCATCGATTCTAAAATGTTTTGAAACAGTATTTTGGAATGAGTGTTTCATCATTATTGACGATAAATGTTTGATTTTATTGAACAGAAATAACATTTTGTGTCTGTGAATCAATGCAAATATGACTATTGAAGTAGATGATAGTTGCAGTAACACAATGACTTAGAAATGAAGTTACACATTAATTATAATGAATCTAAAAAAGAAAGGCGATGCTAAAATGAATATGACAACGCATAATTTTAGGCATAACAACTTCTTGTTTATTGCAAGTACTTGGACATGTTGTAGATAAAGACGTGTATAATAGTAATGGACCTGGGCCCCGTTCCTCAAAGCGATCGTACCGCTACGACTGTCGTAACTCTATGTTAGCGCGATCAACTACGCGCTACGATCGCTTTGAACGGGGCCCAGGGCCCCGTTCCCCAGAATGATCGTAGCGCTACGGCAGTCGTAAGTCTATGTTAAAGTATGGGAGTTACGATCATCTTAGCGCTACGATCGCTTTGAGGAACGGGGCCCAGACTTTGTTATCTACATGCTTAAAATTGTACATTGGCACATTTACTCACGAACTTCTCGAATGCCAATCGGGGCGGTGGGGTAGTCTAGTGGTTAAGGCGTTCGCTCGTCATGCTGAAGACTCGGGTTCGATTCCCCAGATGGGCACAATGTGTGAAGCTCATTTCTGGTGTCCCCCGCCGAGATTTTGCTGGAATATTGCTAAAAGTGGCGTAAAAATAAACCCACTCACTCACTCGAATGCCAGTCAAACAGCCAGGGCCTAGATTTTCGAAGCTCTCTTAGCGCAAAGATAGTCGTAAGTTAATGTTAATGTATGGCACTTACGGCTATCTTAGCGCTAAGAGAGCTTCGAAAATCTAGGCCCAGGACTACTATCGAAAAAATGATGAATATAACATACAACAAACAAAATAGAAGGCGGCATGATGTTTACCGCATCAGATCTGATCTAGTGAGATTGAGAACAATCGCAGCAAGTGCGCTGTGTGAGCTTTGTAACTCTTGCCTCGACTTGTGGCACATCTCGAGCCGTTCTGGCCGGAGATGGCGATTGCAGTGTCTTGTATGATAGATGTGCCACAAACCTAGGTCAACAGACCTGAACACCTGCAGCTTCGACTTTAGGCACTGATGATAAAACTCCACATCTTCCATCCCCCAGCCCTGCAGCGACCTGTCAAAATTTCCCGCATCTAATATATCACTTGTATATATTCCAACGATACCATAACTAAAATATCGCCACGTTCCGAAAAGCTCATCGAATGCAAAACGTTGGGTTGATTCTTCGTCCCTGGTTTGAATTGATCGTGGGTCGTACCTGCTGAAGTAGATGGGGAAGAATGGCTTGCCTTGTCTGGTGTTCCAGACAACTCGATTCAGAAAGCCAATAGTGAACATTATGTCAACATCCATGATGAGAACACGTGTATCTTCTTCGAGTTCGGCTATCCCCTGAGCTATTCCTCCAGCACGGGTGAATTTCCCCCTTCCTTGGATAACCTTGACGACAAGGCTATCAGTCGATGGGACAGCAGCGTCTAAAGTTCGTATGTGTTCCCCCTTTTTGTCTCGGAATAACACGATATTTAACATAAGAAACCCTTTGAAATCCAAAGCTACTGACCTTAACCGTTTGATAAAACGGATAAAATCTGCAGACCTTTTAAACAAGGGGAGCACTATAACCAGATCGATGTCTCTTTGTGGTTTTATTTCTTGGAATCTTGGTGTATTGAAACGTTGAACGGTTTTGTAGTTGCGTGGAAAAGTGCTTTCTCTCTGGCTGTGGATCATTATATGTTCTACTGCTCTCCCGACAACTACTCTTTGATAGATGCAGGCAGGTTGGGTACCGGAAAAGACGTTGATAACAACGTTTAGCGATTTGTTTAGAATGAGCCTTCGTCCTCTATTGTAGACAGATTCTGTGGGCTGCGCATTGCTGTTTGAGAGAGAATGAACTCGGGATGCGTTTATAAAATCCCATTCTTTCAGTTGATATCCGCCTTCTCGTATATGCCTTGGATCGATGGGTAACAATGGTTGATCTGATGACTGGGTTATGTCAATAAAGCTGATGGCTTGTGTTAGGAAAACAGTTCGAAATTGAAGTTGTCGGAGTCTCGCTTGGAGATGTCTTATCGCCACAGCATAGATGTTCTCTTCTAGCAATGTAGGAAGTATTTTGTCAAAAACATTCGTTGAATCTCCTCGGCTCCCCTCCATACAGAGCTGCAACCTGGTAATTGGGAAAACAGCATCTCAGCGATTGAAATTTGTCAAATGGCATGTCGGTTCGTATATCATAGTATTACACTTATTTGATTCAACAAATATTCGAATTTGAAAATCGGACAATTTTGACAATGTGTTTCAATTATTACAAAATAATAATGAGTGACCTGGGTTTTCGGCGTGACGAGCGATGGCTTTTACCACTAAGCTAAAATAATAGATTCCCCGATAATCCTTTACACAGTTTAACGTTCACGGAAATAAATCATTTGCAGTGAAAGCGTTCTCGGTGTCCACATAACTAAGGAATAATCGGGCCAATTGTAATAACGTTAATTACATACGTCTTGTTCGAGAGGCGGATACTTGCAATGATAATGATTATATTATAGTCCGTTTGATTTCATTTAGACCGATGAATTGCTCACTAACACAAAATTAAATAATTGCAACAAAACCAAATTTTGTACAGTCCCATGAAATCGACAGACCAACTCTGATGATTTGTATTATAATTTTGGACATAGCGGGAATATTGCCGAGTGCGGCGTAAAACAACATGCAAACACACCACAATTGTGGAAATGATGAGCACGAGTATGGTGTTGAGAAAGCAGCATCATAGTCACGATGTGTCTTGGTTCCATCCACAGAATAAACAGTTTCCTTTGCGCAACAGAATGGATAACCTTATAGACAGAATTTGATACCACATATTGCAGAGATTTCTAATTATTGATTGTTTGATTTTTATAAACTATTAAACAACCCGTACCACGGCAAGATATTATAATTAGGGAACAGAATAAAGAAAATGCGTCACCTTTTCCAAAGTTAGGTTAACTGTTTCTTGCATCAACGCATCACACATGGCAGTACTGTCGATCCCCATACGGTGCCTCAGTAGTAGGGTAAGTGCTGCCTGGTTCAATATAAGGACATGGGACTGGTGAGGTAGGTTAAACAGGCTCGGACACTGCGGATGGACGATGGATACCGGGACCTGATGAGGAAGCGACAACAGTAGTGACGACAGAACGTCGACGTTGACGACATCAGGTGTCAACACGAACCATTCATACATATTCTGATGCTGGTACAGCTGCTGTGTGCATCCTGAAAGGTCTGAAGAACGTTCTACCTCACCATCCTCCTGGCAGACTAGAGCTGTGACATCTACCTTGTCATTCTGCAGCATCTTCAGCATCTTCAGCAATGTTTCATTCACATCATGTTTATGTCTTATGATTCCAACGAATATTGTTGGTGTCATTTGAATACCAGCAGCTGTTAAATCCACAAGGCAACCATATTGTTTTAAGTAAGTATGGAATATGAGCACACCACATATTAATCCGATCGTGAAGAAAAATACAGATTTTCGTAACCTCTCTGTTCTTCTGTGTGTATTCATCATCTCCTCGCATGGGAGATATACGTGTGTGAGTCTACGTTTCTAGTGCTGTAGCTAGACTCAAGTAGTTGTTTCCTTGTCAGCATAGACACTCAGGGTCGGAAACGTGATCATTCACAACTGCCCTTGACCTCATCACTGTGGCCGATGTCAAAGGAAAACATTTCAATAATGTCCACAACAAAATCAGGTTTCCGCTGATTGCCATTTGACTATGTTGGACGATTTACGGTTAAATAGTTATAAACTTATCACGCTGTTTGTTTGTTGTTTAACGTCATACTTAGCGTTATTCCAGCTATATGACGGCTGTCCGTATATACTCGAGTCTGGACCAGCAAATCCAGTGATCGACGTCATGAGCATCGATGAAGAACAATTGTAATCCGGGTATTCAAGGGCCCTAAACTTATGTGACAATCTGCTGTATAGGTAAATATCTGTGAATGAGTTTATTTCTGTAAGTAGGCCATCGGCCCATGTACAATCATATGATACAAAATTTCATTTTAGACAAGGCACCCTCGTGCTTAAAGGGACTATATCACATCACACTTCTCTAACAATAGATACTGCATTTATCTCAATAATAATAACTATCAATCCTCAGGGAAGCTACCATATAATTTATTCCCGCAAAAACTAGGTATTTAGATTACAATATTAAATTAGAAAGTTCGAATGAATTAAAGCAACGTTGCATTAAATCGACTCTTGCGCCCTCTACCGGTCAAACATTATTTAAGCGAACCCCATAGAGTCATGTCCCTTCTTTACGAATATCCTACGCACAACTTGTAATTGAAACTAGTTCGGCAGACACCGACAACACCGCGTGCAACAGTTTTTGATGTACGGAGCAATTGTTTACATTCCATATATGGCAAGTGTTTTCTGTTTGGAAGCGGTTCGATTCGAAGTCGTAAAAGATGATAGGTCTTTTATTGCATCAATAGGAAGCTAAAGTGAATGCATATACCCTAATATATGTAATATAGGCCCAAATATCACGAAAGCATTCACTCAGTTCATATTTTCACGTTTATTGATAAGAACTTCAGCTGAACTACAGTTACTGTTAAACTAGGTAATAAATAATTACATACTATTATTCCGAGATGTCCATACATATATACATTCCACTCCACGGCTTAAATCTTTCATTTTAACGATGTGTTGTTCAATGCTATAACGGCTAAGGACAAAGGATATGACATCCCCTTACCGGGTGGTGTGTTTGCACATATGTTTGCACTGTTATGATGTGCCCGTTTGACAAATAGTAGAGGATGATCATGATGTCGATCTACAGTAATTAGAATGTTCAGCATTGAGTGAGATTATACATGTAATACATCAGGTCAATGCTCCAGATTGCGCACTTCCTGTCTGGGTAAAGAGCCATTATGGGTATGTAACGAGAGTGTGTAACGAGAGTGTGTGTGTAACGAGAGTGTGTGTGCAATGAGGGTAATGACAGTAATTCATCTGCTAAACTGACATACAGTATACCCTGGTTATAATGCCACTGTTTGTTTAGGAGAAAATATGACATTATATCCAGGGTGGCATTGTAACCAGGCAAGACAGTTGGAGGCCCTTTGGCTTCAAAGAAAACAAGTCATTACTTTGTTGATCATTGTTTATTTCTCAGTTACATCGCACATAGCTACATGGCACACGTACACTCGCACATACATGCAAATACATTTTGCTGTAATGAATACACACATCATTCAAATGAAACTTTGATCCACATTGATCTTCAATGGTTTAAAGAAATCTGTAACTGATGTCTGCTCAGTACGACAATGCATGGCTTGCAGAATTTCAGAACATGTTTTGGGATTGGATGCAGAGTAGTGGGTGATATCTCTCTTGTTTTCAATATCTAAGACGCAACGTTTGCGCTTGGTAGCACTGATTTCATGGTAAGCTGGGGGCGAACATGACAACTTACAGCGTTAATGAGTTTTGGTCATTATAACCAGGGTAAAAATTACTTTGCGCCAAAACCCACTGGCAAATGACATTATATTTAGTTTGACATCATAACCAGCGTATTATTAAGGCAGGAAATCCGTTCTGGCAAAGACATGGCATTATATCCAGGGTGGCATTATAACCAGGGTGCACTGTACATACCACGATTGCAGGTTATGGACAAAGGATGTTTTGTCTGACGTTACTTTCGCAGTCTTTTGGATGTTTTACCGTACGCCCAATGATATCCATTAGTCGGATGATCGAGTGCAGACTGGGTGGTATCAGCTATACCTGCGAAACCCCATATTATGTAATTATAAAACATCTTTTGGACAAACACTACTTTGTGGTTTACAAAGAAAATATTTCAACAGCTTGATGAAGTATAATAATTTTTTAAACAATATCTGGTAACACTTTTTAAAAACACCTGTCCGTAATTGGTCCTAGCAGTCTCCCTTTATAGTACAGTCAACTGTAACAAGGAGTGTTCAAGTTTGAAATCTCAAACTAATATTTCATAACAATATATATAATTTCATTAATAATGGTAATTATTGAAAAAAGGATAATATCTCAAAAGAGATCAAAGCTGGACCATCTTGGTATGAACAGAGTGGTTACAATTGCCACTGCTTACAAAACGCCATCATTATTTCCTTGTGACCTTGTTAGTGGGGTTTGTTGACAATATACGTCTTTACGTTGATAATGATCGGACTACGTGCAGCTGTTAGGGGTAAACATTTCTACTCTGCTTGATCCCCTAATTGGCAAGTACTGTCAACAATCTAAACAAACGCTGCATCAAACAAAACAACCAATTAGTCATTTGAAGTTTTTTCAATTATTAATGTAAATACAAGCAACTAAACACGTTCCATTGTCCTAACACATCTCTGCTGAAAGCAAAGTTCATTGTACAGTTCCCATTATTTTTAGCATTGGTTTATTATTCAAATCATATAATATCTATCAAAGACACTACTGCCCTATCCGATGACACACATGGGTTACCCGTTCGCCAAGCGTGTGGGACCGTCAGCCCCGCGTGTAATACCCGTGTAACACCTGTGTACAGCGCGTTGGACACTGGTTTGCATCCTGTTCACCACGCGAAGGTGGGCTCCATTCCCGTGTTGTGCTGCAATTGAACAACGTTTGTGTTGTTCGTGTGTTGTTTAACGCCGCACTCTGCAACATTCCATCTATATGGCAGCGGTCTGTATATAATCGGGTTTAGGTCAGACAATCCAGTGATCAACAGCATGAGCATCGATCTACGCAACTGGGATACGATGACATGTGTCAACCAAGTCAGTGAACCTGACCACACGATCCCGTTGGTCACCTCTTACAAACATAAACTGAGGGGCAAAAGAAACGTCCCCGATCATTTTTTTTATCATAAAATGATACAAACACGTGCAATTCAATGTTGAAATGTTTGATATAATTGTTGAACATATTATGCAGACTGTCATTACAGAACAATTGAAACAATTTGCTGTAAGTAGAGTTTTTGTGACGTTTTTCACAGGAGGTTCAAATGTCCGGTGTTCGATCATGACAACACATGCACATCAGTACTGACAGAGTGTCTTTGAGTGTCCAACTCCTCAGTAGCGAGTGTGTCCACCTCTTGCAGCGATACATGCTGCCACACGACGTCGTGCAGAGTGCACAAGACGTCTGATCACGTGATCTGGGATGCGACGCCATTCTTCCTGTAGAGCTTGAGCCAAAGCGTTTCTTGTCTGTGGGGGATGTTGACGTTGCTTAACCTGACGGCCGAGATGATCTCATAGGTGCTCAATAGGTGATAAATCGGGGGATCTTGCTGGCCAAGGAATGACGTTTACGTTGTTGTTGTTCAGGAAGTTCCGGGTAACAACAGCAGTGTGGGGAGTAGCGTTATCCTGCTGAAACAACACGCCTCGATTCTGCTGGAGGAAGGGTAACACGACAGGTCGTAAAACAACATCAATGTATCGACGGGCATTCAGGTTTCCCTCTATCACCAACAAGTCAGTCTTCCTCTCGCCACAAATTCCTCCCCACACCATCACACTAACGCCGCCAAACGTCTCAACTTCCTGAACGCAACAACGTGCTGTGCGTTCGTTCCGACGTCTGTAGACTCGTACCCGACCATCAGCTTTGTTCAACTGGAAGCGGCTCTCGTCACTGAAGAGTACCCGGCGCCAGTTCCGCGGCTGCCACTGCCGAACTCTACGTGCCCAAGCCAATCGACGACCTCGATGTTAACGTCACGCCCCGGAATGGTCTGTAGGCTCTGATACCGAATCGGCGGAGTCGTCTGGATATGGTCCTTCTACTGACTGGATGGGTAAGGCTGGTTGTTGCTGATGACGTCACAGTCAGGAATCTGTTGCGCAAGTGAAGCACCCGTAAATGGCGGTCTTCCTGAGGGGTGGTTACGGGTGGTCTCCCTGTCCTAGGCCTCTCTGCAGTCCGACCTGTTGTTCTGAAGCGTGTCATCAGTCTGGTGATGGTTTTCTTGCTGCAACCCATGATTCTTGCAACGTGACTGTGAGAAGCACCCAGCTGCAACATCCCAATAGCTCGTTCTCTCTGTCCTGCCGTGAGTCGAGGCATGTTCTTTGTGTCCAACGTATTGAAGTGATGAATTCGAACAGTCGAGCATAATTTTTATACTGTACTTTCATACGGGTATGTTTCCACAGAAGCATGCACAAAACGTGAATAAAAGCAATTTTCATGCTTACAAAAAACTCCACGTGGATTTCCTTTCTGTGAGACGTGGGGATGCGTTCGGGAGATGTGTTCCTAAATAAATTTCCGTCATAACGAAAACAGAAGAAATGTTTTTTACAATTTTACTTTGGGGACGTTTCTTTTGCCCCTCAGTTTAGTATGCTGAAGATCAGTTCTAACCTGGATCTTCACGGGTGCACACATTTGGTTGATCTGCATCACTTCGAAAGTTTCCATTAGGTTGTCCAAATGTAGTATAACAGGATTACTTATCTGAATGTTGTTAAACACAATACGCCCCC